AACTGCACTAATGTCTTATGGTTGTTTAATTGAAAACGGTTAAATGTCTTCCAGACTGAACTTGGTCATGGAACATTTTTAAGAGGCTTGGAGACAACGGCCACTTATGACGCTGACACTGAAGAGTTTGTCATACACAGTCCAAAGGTGACATCTTATAAATGGTGGCCTGGAGGATGTAAGTAATTCCTAAAAATACTGTTTAATTAAACTCTTAACCGTAGGTTTCTGAAACATATATGTCTCTTTTGGCAAAGATAATGACAGAGTTGATGACATGTTTTATACAGAGATTTCAGTCTCAGAAACTAATACTAAGTGGTTAATTATTGTAACTTTATTCCATGTTTTAGTGGCGCAAACTGTCAATCATTGCATCGTAATGGCTCAGTTATACACCAAGGGAAAGAATCACGGTATCCATCCATTTTTGGTACAAATACGTGACATAGAAACTCATATGCCGTTACCTGGGATCAAAGTAGGCGATATTGGACCAAAACTTGGATTCCAAACAGCAAACAATGGATTCCTTGGATTTGACAACTATCGAATTCCAAGAATGAATATGCTTATGAAGAATTCTCAAGTGTTAAAGGTACGTTATATTTCTTTAAGCTAATTTAACGTTAAAAAAAGTGATACTCAATTTGACATCAATTGTTAACACAATAATGAAACTCGCAAATATACTAACCACCAGAGAAACAACAAAGAAATGTTTATGCTTACAGGACGGTACATACATTAAAGCTAAGAACGAAAAACTGACGTACGGTACAATGGTATTCGTGCGAGTCACGATAGTAGCTGACGTGGCGTACGAACTGGCGCGCGCCGCCACCATCGCCGTACGCTATGCAGCCGTCAGGCACCAGTCCAAACCTAAGCCTAAGTGAGTCTTTTCATACTAGAGACGCAATTTATCTCACACACATATGTACATGCCGTTAGTACTCCTTAACACGAAGAATGAGCTTTGGACTTTATTCAATTCTAGCTGTCGCCCGCGACTCCGTCTGCGCGGAATTTAAAAAAAACGATTGGTCGCAGCGTAACGTTGTATAACCTAAAGCCTTTCTCTATAAATGGACTATCCAACAAACAAACTCTTCCGTTTTATAATATTAGAATAGATTTATCCGGATTGTTTTTGGAGCAGAAGGGAGTCTAATGACCAGTGGATTGCCTAATATTAATTGATCCGACGCCCATGGACTTTCGTAATACCAGAGAACGGCAGATGTATTGTTCAGTCTCAAATTACTCAGCTCAAAAAGTATTGTCTTGGTTAAGTTAAAGTTAAGTTAAAAACCGTGTCAACTAGTTTCGGCAATGACAGTGTGATATTGCGTAAAATAATGCAAAAATGATATACAAAGGAAATAAACATATCTATATGTTATTTGTAGTGAGCCGGAGCCTCAGATCTTGGACTACGTGACGCAGCAGCACAAGCTATTCATCGCGGTGGCGACGAGCCACGCATTCCGCACGGTGGGTCGCTGGCTGTGGAGCACATATACTAAGGTCATTGCGGACATGCGACATGGCAATATGGACCAGCTACCTGAGGTGACTTACTGCTACTTATGTTGTCTACTTACAACTTCTAAACATATGTATACATAATTCACTTTATCTCATAATTACCACAAAATTATAAATTGTTACGATGGCCTTGGATTAGACGTTTGTATGTAAAGATTTAGACATTAATTTGGTACGGAATGGATATGAAATAGTTTCCAGTTTACGTCTTTTATCAAAATGAAATTTTATATACATAAACTAAAATTATGAAGATGACACAGTTGAGTAATCCGAATTCTTAAAAGCTCTGGAGAAAGTGAACTTGGCAGAAGTATTGAAAAAAAAGAGAAATATAGAGGAATTCTTTGTTGTCGATAGCTCCATGCCCTGGCGTGCTGTCTGAAGGCAGTGTGCAGTAAAGATGCGTCAACATGCGTGGAGCAGTGTCGTTTCGCGTGCGGCGGCCACGGATACATGCAATCCTCAAACCTGCCCATCATATACGGCATTGTCACGGCAACGGTCACATACGAAGGAGAGCACACTGTCATGTTGTTGCAGACTGCCAGGTTAGCTTACATTAGTAAAAAAATCTCAAGTGGTGTCTGTGTTTAAATGCAATGAAAGTCAGAAAATACGGAAAAGATTTTAATACAAAACTTTTAGTTAATAATGTAAATTGGTAAAGTATGACAGATAAATACGACTATATATGAATTTTGATAGGAACGAATTTTTTATAGATAGCTTTTTACAGTTAACATAGAAAGAAAACATTTTTTATTTTCAGATATCTCGTAAAAGCTTACAAGCAAGCCAGTGAGGGTAAAAGTTTAACGCCAACAGTGGCTTACATGACCAAGTACTTGAAGAGTGGTAGCCATTACTGGCAAAATACACCAGAAGGTATCATTGGAGGCTTCCAAGCTGTCGCTACAGGGTAAGAAAATTTTGATATTATCTTTTTCAAGTGCCATACTCCAGGAAAGGTGAACCATTCCTCCGCGTACCATTCATGCGGTGTAATATTTTGGACATTATGACTAACGAAAAAAATCGTTATGTTATGTTATGAAAAAAGTGTGAAGTATTAAGTCTAGGAGCGAACGCGAGTGTTCTATACAACGAAATATTTCCAATAATCAGAGTCAAACTTATTTTATTGCACGTCTATGACATCATTAAATATTTCTTTAAAAAAAAGTTAATAGATAAAGGTTGACCTGACCATCCCTGTTATATTGCATAAGAAATTTATACATCATCAGCTTACTATACGTCCCCACCGAGGGGCTCGGAGCCTACCCTAAGTTAACGGTGACTAGGCCATAGTCAATTTATAAGAGTCTTGAATTACCCAATAAGTAGTAATGGAACCTCTTATATTAATTCTGTTACATTCTTTTTATACTTTAGGAAAACAAAGGAAGCTTGCGAATCATTGTTCCAACATGTGAAGTCGGGGAAGGATTACGAAGATGCTTGGAACTTATCATCTGTACGACTAATCAACGCCAGTGAGGTAAAGAAGCACCTAATTTGAAGTTATCATGAGAAATATACACAGTTTATGTCTCTTTTGGTTTCCTAAATAACACATTTTGTATATTATGCTATACTTATTTTAATTTCATGTATGTCTTGCATAAATATTAATATAATATTTTTATAACGCAGGCGCACGCTCGTGCGGTTTTATGCGAGATGTTCTGGAAGGAGATTCAAAGAATATCAACAACCGTATCTCCAAGTTTGGCGATAGTTTTGACACAATTAGCGGAACTGTACCTTAATTATTGGGCTCTAGAGAAACGCGGCGATATGTTAATGGTAAAAAAAATATTATCCAATTAAAATTGAATATAATTAATTTATTATTTTGTCAATATTTAGGAGTAGTTTGATGTTTAAATATATTTTAGTACTTATATTTTGCGGTTTCCAGTATTCCACTATAACTAAAGAGGACATCAGCAGCTTGCAGAGAAGATATGAAGAATTGTTGGCACTCATTCGGCCTAATGCCGTGGGAATTGTGGACGCGTTCGATATCAGAGATGAGGTAGTGTTTCATATTCGTTTCCACTGCCGAAACACGTGTAAAACATATCATCGGTCTCATTGCATTAGCAGTGTTATCTAATCTATTAGCTTTATCTTGTCGTGGTCTCTTCCAGTGTAGGGATTTTTTTTGTTATTTATTACATAAGGGAAGAGTAAATAAGAAACCCTATTCTTGCGTTAACAAAAGAGTTAGAGAGACTATCATCTATTTAAAAAAAACTGTAAAAAGTAAAAGAGTTGCAAATTGTTTTAGATCTTGTGTTCGACCCTCGGTGCATACGACGGTCGTGTCTACGAGAGACTGATGGAGGAGGCAATGAAGAGTCCTCTTAACAAGGAGCCCGTCAACCAGAGCTTCCACAAGTACATAAAGCCGTTACTGATACAAGCCAAGCTATAATACAGATCAATATGATTATTATGTTTACGTAACATATTATATGACATGTATTTAGTATAAGTTATTAATATTATGTATATTTTATTGCAAATAAAGTACAATTATTATTAAATTAATGATTTTGTTCTCTGTTAGGGGCTTAGGGAATGAAAATCATTCTTTTCTCGAAGCGACTTTAGGATTACAATTTACTGAATTGTGATTGAAATTATAGTTATTTGTCTTTTCTTGGTGCGAATCATATTGAAATTACAAATGTAAAATGTGTATTTATATTTAGTATTATTCAAACATTAAACAATAACACAGCATCGGACTGGCATTTTAATATAATTATCAAACAATAGCAAATCAAATGAAATATTATATTGACACCAATGAATTAATTTATCAAGTTAACCTGCATATGTAGCACAAGTATTTATAAAGAACTTTAGCAAACTTATCTTAATCTTACTAATATTATAAATGCCAATGATTGGATGTCTCGATCGTTTGATGTTTGTTAGAAGGTATCTCCAAAACGGCTCCATGAATCTCCATGATGTTTGGTATATTAACGTAGAACAGTCTGGAAGAACACAAAGCCTACTTATAATCCCAGAAATGTATTCATTTATTTGATCTCCTCAACGTTTCAACCCATCCTATTGCAATGTGACACATATTATGTGTATGGAGGAAGACATAAGATAATTTTCACCTTTTTTTAAATAGTCCGCGGATGAAGTAGCAGTCCAAAGCTAGTCTAGTCTATCTGTACAGTGACTGAAATTGGATATTAATGCTATTTTTTTATCTTAATACTATTTATTACGAGTACTGCACGATTTTCTTTACGCTATTTGTCAACTATTTTATAGTCCTAAACATAAAAGGAAGTGCAAAAACCCGCAATGGCAGTATACTCAGTTCGTAAGTACTGTAACTACTAAGCTATAATTTAATGTGTCAATTTCATCGTTGTCTGGTTCCCAGTCATTCGAACTGCATATAGCAGCGTTCATTTGTTAGTAAAACTACGTCTCGAAATTCAGTACAAATAAACGCTTTGTTGCGCGACGGCCGTCACTTTGCGCGAACATTTTAAGCGCTTTTGATATAAATAAATCCTAAAAAATATGATTAAGGGAATACAGGCTGATGTAAATCCAGACCTTAAGAAGGAGAGGTTGAAATGTAATTTCAATATCCAAGAGGTCACGTTCATAATCGACGGGGGCAAAGACAAAACTCTACAGAGGAAAAAAATAGGTAAGTTATTTTTGAAATTTAAGTAACCGGTTCCTAATTAATTCTCAAGCAAAAAATTGTAGTTAATACTTATTTTGTTGAATTGAATATAAATATATATTAAGATACAGTTTTGTGCCAAGAAACAATTTGGGTCGCTGCGCCGGCGCAGTAAGTTTTGATGACTGATCAATATCAAACTGATATTGTTTTACTAAAGTATATTGAAAATTGTTAGTTACTCATATTATCAATTACATATGTACTAATATGGGACAGAGTAAGACTTGTTGACTTTATATACTATTACTTAATATCCTTTCTCTTCTTACTTATAAAAGGCCAGCATCATATTCGTTACTAGATAGTTCCTACTGATGGTCATCATGTAGGGTGGCAACCTGCTCCTTAACCTCCTATTAAAACACTATTAATGCTTACAACGAAATTAGAACAGTTAGGTCTATAGAAAGGAGAATAGTTAGGTCATTTCCTTACTACTTTTATTACATGCACTTAATGCAGTTCTGTATTGCTATAGCAATTATAGATATGAGATTTATTGATACCTTTTATCATTGTATACGTTTCTTATAAATTGGAAATACATAATACATTATACTGAAGGTAAAAATACTTTATAGGTCTTTTTATAGTAGGAAAAATGTTGACAGAGATGAAGTTAGCAAACGACTAAACGTTTACTTGTTATCGCTAAAATAGCGATGTGGTTGTTGTCCAAAGATAGACATTTGCAACAAGCTAAAGCGTTAACATGCATTGTTTACCTGACAAGACAGATTTGCATAAATTAAGTTTGGTTCCAAAACCAAATGTGATTTTCTTTATGAGATACAACTAAATGCTTAAATAACTCGGATACGGTGCATTCCAAATTTAAATGTATACTTATCTTTACAAAGGTCTAAATAAATACCACAGTTTCGCTTAAAGGCTGACCTCAATGAATACATAGAGAATGGCGCATTTTTACAGAGGATGTAGCATTGAATATTGCAGCTTCAATAGACGAGGTACCCGAAGAGTGTCTTAACCTAAAAGAGAGATACGACAATGCAGTCAGAAAGTCCTGCGTCTACTCCAACATTGTTAAGAATGAGTTACTCGAAATCACAGGATTGGAAGCGCTCGGGTAAGTTACCATGGATATGGTTTAAGGGATATTAGAGAATAATAACAATATTATTGGGGACCGGTCGACATTCAAAATTCAATATTAATTATAATGCATACACCCCCAGAACTTTGATACCGGATGAACTCGCTTATTGTAATGCAAATATAAGAAATAGAATACAAGGGTATTGTACTGAGTTCATACATATATATACCTTGCATATCTTTTCATATATATACGAGTATGTCGCTAGTGACAAAAATAAGTTTTGTCACTTTAGTAATTTTTTTATGCTTTTTAAAATTTCTAGTGTAATAACCAATCAATCATCATAGCTACTAGACCGTGTCTAACTGTAAAACCAAACCAATGTAAAAGCGTAGATAAAAAAGTCAGTTGATCAACAGAAACATACCAGGAATAGTATTCTTATGTAAATAGATCTCCGGTGCTTCGACGGACTGCAGATGCGTTCTTCAAAGACGTGTCACCATTCATGCTGCACCTGGGGATGTTCGTGCCGACCATCATCGGGCAGTGCACGCCGGAGCAGCAGGCACACTGGCTGCCTAAGGCCTTGGAGATGCAGATCATCGGCGCCTATGCACAGGTTGAGCTCATATAACATAGACTTGAACCCTAGAGCTGTAGCTCAACAACTTAATTGTTCCTGGTGCAGTATTGATTCATGAAGTTGAAGTAAATACACAAGACGTGCTTAATTTGATATTCTATCAATTTTCAGACAGAACTTGGTCACGGTACATTCATACGAGGTCTAGAGACAACTGCAACATATGATCCTGCCACCGAGGAGTTTGTACTGCACAGCCCCACGTTGACTTCAACTAAGTGGTGGGCAGGAGGACGTGAGTACTCACATAAATACGAATCTTACTTCTCACAAGTCTTACTAATATTATAAATGCGAATGTTTGGATAGATGTTTAAAGGTATCTCCAGAACGGCTGAAAGGATCTCTAAGAAATTTGGCATATATATAGAACATAGTCTCGAACATAGGCTACTAATTATGTTTTTTTAATACCGCGTAGTCGGAGTCGCGGGCGATCACTATAATATAATAAAACAAAGTAAAAGGTCAACAAGTGCTTAGTTTTTTTTTCGTAAACTAGAAAGAATTAGTAAGGCAAAAGTAAAGTGTATTATGTACTTTCCTATCTTTCTTTCTATGTACGTCACAATATTTAAAATCATCGCTCCCCTAAATGTTATTATAATTAGTTCTTTATCTTTATAAGTTAATCACGAACTATGTGTCAAGGTAAATTTAAAAACAATGAGTTTGAAATAAACCAAAATATTATAATAGAATGTATCAAATGTGTGTTTCATGTACTGATTTCATTACCTATTTTCATTAAGCAATACTTGGATAAAGTTCATTACATTGTTATCGGACGTGTCATTTCTATATATACATTGTATTCGCCGTACGAATTTTGTTACGAAAGTAAAGTTCGTATTAATTACAGCGTTATATCATAAGATAATCATAAAACAGTCATTAAGACATTAATAAAATCTATGCATTATTAAAAAAAATTCTGAAAATCATATTTCGTACACGTGGTATATTTGCGTTGCTGATAACTAAAAACCAATTTTTCTGTCTTGATGTATGTCCCCAGTTTTGTTCCTGGTTTGCTTCTAGTCACAGGCGACCGCTAGTATCTAATAAAAACCAATTATCTTCTCAGATAAATAATAAACTTATTACAGATAATGATTCCATTTTCAATACTTTTTCTTCACAGTTGGTAATACTGCGAATCATTGTATTGTGGTCGCACAGTTGTACACTAAGGGTCAGTGTCATGGTACGCACCCTTTCATCGTGCCTATAAGAGACCTGGACACCCACGAGCCCTTCCCTGGTGTGAAGGTCGGAGACGTCGGTATCCGTATGGGCTTCAATACCGCCGACAATGGATTCCTTAGATTTAATCAATATAGGATACCTAGAGAGAACATGATGATGAAGAACGCCAAAGTAATGAAGGTAGTATAATGTTTTAATAGTAGAATTAGGAACGAAATATATTTAACCGCGGAACTCGACTGCTGACCGTTGGTTTCAGAGACATTTCTGTAAAACATATCGTTGTCCCTGTCATTCATTTTTGAAGAAACAAAGATAACAATATATTTTTTTGAGGTCATGAACGGACTTCTTGTACTTTAGTTACCTACAAATTACAGTAGTTAGTGCTTTGTTCCAGTTTTAATGAACACGACGTAGCTTGAATTACATACATAGCAATTATGTAATTACTTACATCCTTTGTAACCACTAATAAATACCAAGTGGGGAATAACGAACGAAGTTTCATTATTATGTAAATGCTAATTTAGTAGATTGTCATTTACTAATAATTAGTTTAAAATGTTTTATGTATAATTGCCAGGATGGTACATACGTGAAAGTGGCTCGTCATGAAAAACTCACATACGGTACAATGGTATTCGTTCGAGTTACCTTGGTTATGGAGGCAGCATTCAACTTGGCAAAAGCTGCCACCATTGCTGTACGGTATTCAGCAGTGAGGAGACAGTCGCAACCCAAACCAGGGTAAGATTCATTTCAATATATTTAAATTAAATACTTTTAGACTTTATTAGTTAGAATCCTTTGGCGCGAATGACTCGTTCCCGTTACCACGTCAAGTGTCAAAATCGATTAGTGAGGGGACATAAGCATTCTAGTAAGGCTAGTGTTGTGCCGATACACCGGCACAGAGTCAAATTTTCTTCATAACAGTACATAAATAGATTATTACAAAGAGAGCTTCTAATATTATATAGATAGACTTATAGATATTACTTGCAATATTTATTAGTAAGGTACTAAATCCTCAGTGAGCCGGAGCCTCAGATCTTGGACTACCCGACGCAGCAACACAAGTTGTTCATCTGCATAGCAACAGCGCATGCGCTGCAGCTCACCGGACTATGGTTGTGGCGCACCTTCGAAGCCGTGCTGGCCGACATGAGGAAGGGCGACACTGACTCCTTGCCTGAGGTTAGATTAGATTGTAAACAAACAACGTCAAACTATATATGAAACGTTAAGGTGATAATGAGCCAAAGGATACCGTTAATTGATCTCTTACGTCCATGAATTAGTAAAAATACTAAATGTTTCATTGATATAAAATATAAAAGATTATCACTTTTTAACGTCTATAAGCTGTAAAGGTTTAAAAACCGCCCAAGACTATTCTAAAAACAGAAATATTTTAAGTCTATGATAGTGTTCACATTTAACCAGCGGCGGAGCTCGCGATTTACTAACGATATCAAGTGTGTTTAACCAGTTTGAACTGGATGATCCGCATGGGTCCGCGCTCCCGTATAGATATGAACAAGCACTAATACGATCTTAATTCGGTTAGGTTTTAGAAATGGAGATTTGAAACTCAAATGATACTTGATACTTATATCGCAGTTTGTTGTAGAATTTATGTACATTTATTTAAAGATTATTCCAATAGAAATAATAAAATTTGTTATATAGTATAGTCCAACGTCCGTAATAGACATTAGTTCAACAAACCTTGTCGTCGTGTTTCGTCGTTGGCCTTCGATACTCAAATACCCGTGTTACTGGTTTTCTAGGGGACTGTTTTTCTTTACCACACGCTTACACTTTAGTTTTGTGTATTTTTCCTGATCGTCGTTAGTGTACATTCTATTTCGGCGTATTGTTACTTTTATTTCATTACCGGTTTCAAATTTTATCTATCGCCTGTGATTTACTTATCTATACACCACCCACCCGTTCTTCCTACCAATAGACCTCCATCAACCAAACGAACTGGGTCGCTAGAAGGTGTGTGGATTCCCATGTGAAGGGAGTAGTGGGGCGAACTACTGCAATACAGTTTTTCTTTTAATGTGCCCGTATGATACGTTGTATTGTTCCAGTTGCACGCACTATCAAGCTGCCTGAAGGCAGTAAGCACATCGGACTCTGCCGCGCTAATTGAGCAGTGTCGCTTCGCGTGCGGCGGCCACGGCTACATGCTGTCCTCCAACCTGCCACTCCTCTACTCCTTTGTTACTGCCACCAGGACATATGAAGGAGATTACACAGTTCTATTGTTGCAGACTGCCAGGTTAGTAATGTACCTTTGGGTTGTAAACAATGATTCTATTACTCTTGAGAAGAATGCGATGCTGATGTTTGTCTTTTTTTGTCACTCTCATCTGTGCACGGGAGACAGCATACGCCTATTTTAAGTACTACCGCACATCTGAAATTGACAGGTTCTTAGTGAAGGCATGGGAGCAGGCAGAGAGTGGCAAGGTTCTAACGCCGACAGTGGCTTACCTGGCATGCGCGGCTGCCAAAGAGAAAGTTGTGTGGAGCGACTCAGTTGACGGCATGATACGCTCCTTCCAAGCTGTAGCTGCAGGGTAACTATTGATCTTGTTTCTAACCAAAAGGAAGAAATGTTAATAAAATAATATAGAAATAAAAATTATAGTGTACCTAATTGTAATAGCGAATATGTAAGAATTAAATTTATCTGATACTAACTGGCGCCCACGACTCTGTCTGCGTGGAATAAAAAAATAGTAATATTCTTCCAGACTATGTGCTACATCTCTGCCAAATTTCCGCATGATCCATCTAAATGTTATTATATTAGTAAGATTGAATTTTTTTATTTTTCCAGTAAGATAGCGGCATGTGCGGAGAACATAAAGCGTCTTACGAAAACTGGGACTAGTTTAGAGGACGCCTGGCAGCTGAGCACGGTCAGACTAGTTGCAGCGTCTGAGGTAATGCCTACCTTTTTATCAATTACGTAGATTATTGTGGTTATTAGTTATATATTGAACATTAATTACTCTAACTTTTGTCTTTAGGCACACTGCCGTGCTATGATCTGTCAAGCGTACTGGCATGAAGTAACACGGCTGACAGCGTCATGTAGTGCCAGTGTCAAGATCGTAATGGAACAGTTGGCAACACTGTACCTCGTTTATTGGGCACTGGAGACTACAGGAGATCTATTGAGAGTAAGTATAATGTACAAAGAGAATAATAAATATAATATTTTTTGATATTATTGATAATTTGGGTGATATTTTGGTTAAATAACACGAATAGGTAAAAATAAATAAGCCAAAATATTTGTTTTAGTATTCAACGATATGTGAAAGTGAATTGAACAAGTTGCAGCTTAAGTACGAAGAGCTACTTGCACTAATAAGACCGAATGCTGTTGGCTTGGTGGATGCATTTGACTTTAGAGACGAGGTTTGTTGTTTGATGATTGCTTTTTTATTTAGGAATTTGAAACGTTAAGATTTTAGACTGAAGTCTGTTACACACTTGTCTCCATTACTGCTTAGAAGTAAAATGTAGTAGAGAAAAGTCACCCAACATTATTTTCAAGGGCTCCTTGGGTGTAATTTCCCCACTTTGGAAAAATCTTCGGGGTAATATTATAATAGTTATGGAGTATTCGTCAGCTCGGTCATTTCATTTTAGACCATATGATTACATACATATTTAATTTAGATGACTTATGAGGAAATTACTTATTTAGATTTTGCGTTTTAGATCTTGCATTCAACTTTGGGCGCGTACGATGGTCATGTGTACGAGCGTCTGATGGAAGAAGCACTGAAGAGTCCTCTTAATGAAACATCTGTCCAGTCGAGTTTCCACAAATATATTAGACCTTTAGCGAAAGGAAAGCTTTGATAATTAAAATAATTATGTATACACATACTTTTAAATACTGAGAATCTGAAATTGACAATCGTAAACTGAGAACTAGGAACTAGGTTTTGGGAATAATTATTAAACAGCCAAAGAAATTGAGTTGTGGTGAATATAAAAACGATTTTATCACGGTTTTTTCTGGTGCCGATGCCAAGGGTGCAGCCCTCGGTAATCTCGTTCTGAACATTTATCGTCAGAAAAGAGAAACAACTTAGTTTATATTTATACTAGCAGTTACCTGCTCCTTCATCAGCTCAGAATAAAAAATAATCTATTTAACTCTTGCATAAAGAAGCTACTTTTTAGTAAACGTCCAGTCAGAATCGATCCAGCCGATTCGGAAATTACCCGTAACAAACGCGAACTTGCCGACATACACAAAAACTACAATAAAAAAAGTGGTGTTGGTTATAAGTTAAGCATACACATTATCTGCATGTATTTTTTTCTCCAATGTTACATACAGACACTTCAATTTTATTAATATGTAAAGATATAGATTTTATCTTGTTTTTGGAATGTTACTCGTCCGTGTGTTTTATCTATATTGCCTATCTGTTATGTTTTATCTAAGACCAAAGCGAAGTGATTATAGATAACAATTTTATGTTATTGTTATTTCATTATTTTGCAATAAATATACATTTTATTTTCTTTTAAAATGTTAATTACTTTGCCGTCGTATCGATGTTGTAAAAAATGATGCATCGTTAAACTTATGTACACTATGTGTTAGGAATAATTAACATAATTATATTAATGGAAAATAGTCTCAATAAATTATTCACTTAATTGTACTTTTTAATTTATCAACATCGGTCGTGTGTTACAACAACGAACATTAATATAAAACTGATAACAATATAATAATATTCTCGTAATTATATGTGTAATTTAAAAGACAAACGTTTAAAAATAAAGTGACAGATCGACAAGCATCAAGACGTTATATCATTTTGTTCTCAATTACGTTTTTGTCCGTGTTTGTCGACAAGACAACATGGACTCTATTGCGTTATCATTTATCGCTATTATAATTTGTTTCTACATCAGTGCTATTTTAAACCTATAACGAAGTAGTCATTGTTTTTGTATTCTTTATGATAAATATAAATATATTTGTAAATGTAATATTTACGCGACAAAAGTGTAACAGAGAACAAACAAGTCGATTATTAGTGTACAGATTATCCAACAACTATTTCGTTTAACTTCGTTTAAATTTTGTATGTTATTTGTTTACTTTGGTCGCAGTCATTTAAGATTTCAAAGTGATAATTTATTTGCTTGTGTGTTTTGTGTTGTTTATAAGTTGTGCAATATGTCCGCAAACACAGTAAATGTTGATTTGCAAAGGGAACGGGCGAAATGCGACTTTAACACAGAAGAATTAACGAACTTTTTAGACTGGGGAGTTAAATATACAGAGAAAAGGAGAAACTTAGGTAGGTTTTTATTGGTCAAGCGTAAAGTAATTTGTATAGTACCGATTACTTCACATAAATCGATTCATTATTATCGAATATTTATTTCAATTGTTACTTTATGTATCTTTATTATTTTACTAGTTGTCGCCCGCGACTCCGTCCGCGCGGAATGAAAAAAAAGTTAATTAGTACCCTGTGTGTTCTTCCAGACTATTTTAAGCCAAATTTCTGTGAGATCCATGCAGATGTTCTGGAGATACCTTCAAACAAACATCTATCCATCCATCCAACCAAAGATTCGCATTTATAATATTAGTAAGATTATAATATAAGTGAGTTTGAATTCTTCATGACACAATATAATTTTTTATAAATAAACCTTTCTCATTAACCTAATTGAGTTTCTAATGCTTAGCTATCCAGCTATTTTGTAATATTATTTGCCTTATTACTTGCAAGTTTAGTTTCTGAATTTCCAATCTATTTCCATTGAAAAGGTCGCTTAATTTAACTTAGTGCAGTACAAAAAAAAAATCCATTATTTCAGATACATATAAATTTATTTCAGTAACCAACATACTAATTAATTTATTTTAACATTGGCATATATCCATATTAATTTGGTTACCAGAATTTTATTATGTCGTTCCATCATATGTATATTTACTTCGCGTCTCATCGTTGTGTTTTTATTTCAATATTAAAAAATACCACTTCGGAGATATGATGTGATATCTCCCAAGCGGTATTTTTTATCCAGGACTTCTAGTATTGATATTTAAAAAGATAAGTTATATTTTGAAGTCTTATATAATATCATAATAGGATTAAATTAATGCCGTAAATTATTTTATCTAATCTGGTTACAAAGTCTCTAATAATAAATGTTTGTTTTTTAAAGACTTTTTTTATGAAAACACCAGCTGTCGCCCGCGACTCCGTCTGTGCAGAAATAAAATAGACTTAAATATTAACCTATGTCTTCTATCAGACTGTGTTCTACATCTGTGCTAAATTTCATCAATATCCGTTGCGCCATTTCATAGTTACCTCGTAACAAACATCCATTCATCCATTTAAACTTTCGCATTAACAATATTGCTAGCTGTCGCCCGCAACTCAACATCATAAAAAAAACTTCATAAGTAGCCTATGTAGTACCGGTAGTCCATACCGGAGATCCACCGGTATAGACTACCGGTGGATCTCCGGAATGGACATACCTTCAAACAAACATCCTCCTGTTCATCTAAACATTTGCGTTTATAATATTAGTAAGATAGTAAATTTGAGGCGCCTATTTAACTGTGGCGGCAACACACCCGTATGTGTTTGTAGCTGTTTAGTACTAGGTTCGAAAAATATATTGAAGGCGCATGGAAGAGTTGATCTGCAAAAACCATTAAAATGATAAAGAGTCGTCCATAAGTCACGTGTTTTTAGCAAATTTTAAATCTCCACCATTTCTCTAGTGATATGTGGTTAGTTTTGCCACTACCCCTGCCACCACACACAAAATCACGTGGGATTTTTAGTATTTACATATTTATAATCTTACCTTTAAATACAGGTGTAATATAATTCAATTAATTTGCCTGATTTATTGCAAAATAGCGCGCTGACATAAAGTATTACATTAAAAATCTATATTTTTAGAACAAAAGGTGTTAAGCGTTAAAGGCTTACTGGATGACACGCCCGAAGAATACATGAGTCACAAAGAGAAATATGAGAACTCCATCCGTAAATCTGTGTTGTTTTACAAAACTCTACATTCAATGGAAGATGAAAACATCTCTATTGACGAGAAAACTAGGTGAGATTAAGTATTAACTTTTAATTAATTTATCACTTACTATGCCCTACCGTATTGGAATCTGTTGCGAAAACAAACCGGAACATGAAAATAAAGAGAAAATTATTAAACATTAGCACCACCATCGTGGTGTAATCATAGCTGCTAAGTTGTTCGTTTATATCAAATTTTGGTTCGCTTCGCTTTCGTTACGCTTTCGCGGCAGACTGTTAGAGGCAGATTCCTCCACTCCTTTATTATTTTTTTTTAAATTTTCTCATTCAGGATTAACTTCCGTAACATAGTAACGTCTGCAGTATTCAAAGACAACTCTCCGCTCATGTTGCATAATTCGATGTTCATCCCGACCATCATGGGCCAGGGCACTGACGAACAAAAGGCGTACTGGATGAAAAGAGCAAAGAATATGGAGATAATAGGCACATATGCTCAGGTATCTTGACTTTCTCTTATTACGTAAAAACGTTGGAGATATTTCTAATTATTTCATGAACCTAAAATACAAGTTCATTGAATTCTTTTCTTTACTCCAGATTATACAAGCTGACAATAGATTTGTTATTACTTTTGCAGACGGAACTTGGACATGGTACCTTTATACGTGGTTTGGAGACGCAAGCAACATACGACCCAGATACAGAAGAATTCGTTTTGCACAGTCCTGCGCTGTCCTCTTACAAGTGGTGGCCTGGAGGCTGTAAGTTACGAGTGTATCAAGATTGCAATATATATAATCAAGTTTATATAATGTGATTCCTATTCATTTGTTAGACTATCTGATCTATCTTTGTACACATAAGTACATTCAGATTCAAAAGTGTATTAGTAAATATTAATATCTTATACAAGATGTTAGGAAATACATTAAATGGTTACCAAATATAATTGACACTTTACAGTGGCCCACACTGCGAACTATTGCGTAGTTATGGCCCGTCTCTATATAAAAGGAAAGAGCCACGGAATCCATCCGTTCATGGTGCAGATTAGAGACGAAGAGACCCACATGCCTTTGCCTGGAATCAAGCTTGGTGAGATCGGAGCCAAGCTCGGCTTCAATACTGTTAACAATGGCTTTCTGGGATTCGAAAACCATAGAATACCAAGAGACAGAATGCTCATGAAGAATGCGCAGGTCTTGAAAGTAAGAAAAAATTAAGCAAATCGAGAACACTTTAATGGCTATATTATATTGACACAATAAATCTGCCCATTTAAAACTATAATACATAAAAATAAACGTAGTACAAATTAAATGATATTTCAGGATGGAACATTCGTTGCCGGCAGTAACAGCAAGCTGACGTACGGCACTATGGTGTTCGTTCGAGTCATAATAGTAAACAGTATGGCCAACATGCTGGCTAAGGCTGTCACCATAGCCGTGAGATACAGCGCTATCAGGAGGCAGTCTCAACCCAAACCTAAGTAAGCAAGGTTAAGTTAAAACTGAATCTTAGGTATACTTTATCTACTTCTCCCAAAAAAGTAAAGCATATATGTCAGTATCAAATACTTTGATCATTAAAGTTATTTAATTAAAGACCGTGATGTAGTCTTTCTCTGTGATCACTCCAGTGAACCGGAACCTCAAATCTTGGACTACGTGACTCAGCAGCACAAGCTGTTCATCGCGATTGCTTCGAGTCATGCGTTCTATATTAACGCAATGTGGTTGTGGGAGATATACTACAGCGTCACCTCACAACTTGCAGGCGGCAACCTTGACAACTTGCCTGAGGTATGGGCAATGGTTGCAATTTACTGCCAGTTTCTACATATTAAAAATAAAATATTTTCAAGTAATTTTACAGTTCAACTCTTGCTTTCTCCGCTTCGGAATGGAGACTAAGAAAGTCAAATTTTAGCTCAATATTCTAAAAGATTTCGTTTCATATAATAATACACTAGTATAATTTTCAAAGGCTAAGATCATCACGCTCAAGGTCAAGGTGGTGTCATCTCCAGGTCTAACTATAAGAAAATGAGAACACAAAGAAACAATATTATGTTTCAGTTACACGCGTTAGCTTGTTGCCTAAAGCCGTTGAGTACAATAGACGCTACGACTATGATAGAGAAGTGCCGGCTGGCGTGTGGCGGGCACGGCTACATGCTGTCGGCCAACCTCGCGCAGACGTACGGCCTGGCGACCGCCGCCTACACATACGAGGGCGAGAACACGGTGCTGCTGCTGCAAGCTGCCAGGTAATCGAAGCATTGGACAAAAATAACTTTGCTAGAACAAACAGACAGGAGATGATGTTACTTAATTAAGTCTTTAAATATACTCCGTAGATTTAATTCTCAAGTTGTATAGCGACTTATATTCATATTGCCTTAACGAGCACTTTTTAAGCTATGCTTATGAAATCTATAATAAGAATATTAGATCTCCAAAGAATCAATACATATTATTGATATGGTGCGTATTTATTTGCAGATCGTTAGTAAAAGCTTGGGGCGGTCATGTTAAAGGTCAACCTTTGAAAGGGACAATGGCGTACCTAGCAGAAGACCCTACAGTGAAGGTGTGGGACGGCTCCATTGACGGAATTATACAGAGCTTTAAAGTTGTTGCCATACGGTGATTATATTTTTTTATATCATATTAAATAATAAAATATTAATTAATGTAAGCAGTCGAATTTGTTATTTAAAATTAAACATTTTTACTAACAGTAAATTATCGAGTGTTGTGAAGATTCTTAAGGAATACGAGAAATCCGGACTATCCCCAGAAGACGCTTGGAATAAGGCTTCAGTGTTCCTTACTGCAGTATCTGAGGTACGTATATTTTTGAATTGTAACTCCGACACATATGCTCATATAATTTGGTATGTCCAAGGCATACATGGCACATAATCGTCTACATCGTCTAGACTTTGATTTTTATTCTACTTTTGTAGCACAGATAGAAAAACTTAAGATATCTCTGGTTTTACAAAAATATGACATAGACCACAAAATGTTTTTGTATACATATGTTAAGTCAGTAGAAAGTGACTTGTTGTACGCTAAATGTACATTGTTTTGTTTTATACCAGGCACATGGCAGAGCTGTCCTTCTCTCCGTGTACAAATCTGAGACGGATAAGAGAGCCGCCGCCCTGTCGCCGCCATTGAGGAAGGTTTTATTACAATTAGTGGACTTGTACGTAATGTACTGGGCACTTGAAAAAGTGGGCGACATGTTACTGGTAAGATTACTGGTAAAAACGTTGATCTTCCAAACTAATATTGTATAGTTCCTTGCTCCAAACAACGTTGAATCATCGACGTTAGTCTATTTCGCCAGTACGGGCATAGCGACTAAACGGCTAACACGAATTTTCATAATGTCAACTGTATAGATTTGCTCTGCTATCTTCAAAATCGCAGTGACTCTTATCACGATCTTGCGAACGTAGTGAGAGATTGGTTTGTCGACGAAAGAGTGAAATATCGAGGATGCCTGTCTGTATATGTACCTCTATGACATTATATTGCATGTGCCATTTGACTTAAATCCAGGGTTTCGAAGACTTATGTATCCTTGTGTACGAATGGCCTTAGATAATAGAGCAATTATCGTTGAATAAATAATTATCATTACTACTATTACATAAAATTGCTCACTTTAATTAATTAATACAAACAAGTTTACTCTTAATTTAATTATTTTGTTGATTAAGAAAAAAATATTCTTATGATAAATTAGGCGTATATTTTTAATTCATAGTTAATAGCCATATTTATTAGTTACATCCTGAATCATTAACAATTTCGCGATAAAATCACCGCTGTGAGGATCATTTCCGTAGTTGTGTGCTCTGTTAGATTTTGTCAGAGTCGTAAAGACTAATGAGGATCGTTTGATAATTAAAATAGGTTGATTATAACATAAATTACATTAATTCGATATAATAAATAAAGATATATCTGGATCTTTTATAGTTCATTGACACAAAGATTGTATAATTTAGAATAACTGTAACAATTTTATTGATAGAGAAATGGAGTCATAAATTATGAATAAAATCGGAAGCAGTTCATTTAAAATTGATTCCTTATAGTGTAGAATAAGAAATAAATGGAAGCAAATCCTAAACATATTCTTATCTCGAAATTGCCGTAAATTATCACCAATATTCTTGTCGGTTTTTTTTTAAATAATCTTAAAATTAGATATGAATTAGTTTGGAACATTTCCGAAGACAAATTTTTGACAAAATATAAAAAAGAAAAACTTTTCTTTAGTATTAATTTCTCCTCAAGTACAGAGGATGAACCTTTGGTTAATAAGAAGGCAATAAGATGTTATTAGACTCAATATTCTCTCTACAAATTTGTCAATTTGTTAAAGAAATGTCTGATACTTATAGTAAAAATAACACTATATTATTCGTTAATATTAGGATGACTGGCAGATTGTAAGTTTTTTGTAGACCTCAATACGGCCTAATTAACATTGACCTCGGAATCAACACCTATTGTGGTTGTTCTGATCTCAAGCTTTGCGGGTCAACATAACAGTTATGTTAGATAGCGGCCTCCTGCATTACATTGCAGTAACAAAAAATGTAACAAAGCGTCCCGAAAACGGATCTCATGATTTGATTAAATCCGTTTAGAATGTTTTAGAACTATTTAGTCTTTTCTCTAAATTGTTGTTTAATTATTTATATGTTTTATTTTGTTTACTTGACTTAAAGTCCTATGTCCCCGTAGTGGGGAAGAGGGCGTTCACAGTGCGCCGCCAGTTCGCTCTATCTTGGGCTCTGCGTTTGGACTCGGGCCATGTCAGCCCGATTGCCTTCATGTCAGCAGCCGCTGAGCGCCGCCAAGTTTGTTTATGACGACCACGTCTAATAATTATTTGGAATTAGAACTCATTGAGTGAAAAAAAAACAACATAAGTTGACCTTTATGAATTTAATGCTTCCAAATTCTTCCAATGAACATTGGAATAGTTGATTAATCCTTGGTTTCTGAGACCGAATTCCCTTTATAAAACATATCGTCATCTTTCTGCATAATGCATGGATTTTGGCCTTAGAAACCGCAACGCGAAAAGACTAATTACCGCTAACTATTCATATGCATGTTTTATTATAAAAGTAAAACATTCTCCTTCATAGAAAAAACTTTATTTTCAGTATGCATCGATCACGGAAAGGGATGTGGAAGAACTGCAACGAAGATACATAGAGCTATTGGCGGCCATCAGACCCAATGCAGTGGGTCTTGTAGACGCGTTCGACTTTAGAGATGAGGTTCGAAAATATAAATTACAAGAACTATTTTCAATTCATTAAGACTTCAAGCGCAGTTGAAATAAAAACTATAGTGAATGGAAAGAATTTAAATAAAAAAATAATTCACTCATGAATTAGATAATTTTAATTATATTTACATTTACGTCCAGCAGTGGACAAGCTTAGGTTGATGATGAATTACATTTCTATGTTTCAATATACGAAATAATATTTATTTTGGTACTATGTACTTTTTTAGATTTTAAACTCAGCTCTTGGTGCTTACGACGGTCGCGCATACGAGCGTCTGATGGAGGAGGCAATGAAGAGTCCACTTAACGCGGAACCTGTCAATCAAACCTTCCATAAATACTTAAAGCCATTCATGCGGGGAAAATTGTAAACATGTAAAATATATTTTGTAATTTATTGTACGATTTTCAATTATTGTGGCATTAATTATTTTGGTACTAACTAATAACCAAGGAGTGAAAATATTTTTTTTCCCATTTTTGTCAGCTACGATAGTAATAAGTCTTTCTGTGATGGATGCGGGATAAATACATGACTATATGTGTATTTCAAAAATGTTATAAGGATATTATTTCACATTAAAAGAGTTTGTTAAAAAATGAAAACTTTATTATTTTATGCTCTTAACATGAACACATGATCGATTAGCAATAAGACTAAAACATGGCATTATTGACAATAACTTAATTTAATTCTAATAAATGCAAGAAATGTTGCAAAAACATCAAGACAAGTAAACGATTGTCATTTAAGTCGTCTTGAAGTGATCGCTTTGTGGGTACAAGTCGCTTATTCACAAACTCTGCGCGTTGGCGATAGCAGACCCGTAGCCGTTGGTGTTAGCGGATGTATTGACGACCCTGAAGGCGGTGTGCACGCCCTGAGCCCTCGCCGAGGACATGGCGTGACCAGAACCCGAAGACTGGGCGTTGGCGATTGTCTGAGATCCAGGGAAGTTTGGTACGTAGGACATTACGTTAGAACTGCTTGATCCGTTACCATTAACGTTTGAGACAGCCGAATTGTAACCCAAACCATTGCTGTTAGCAGCTGAGTTCGCGTAACCTGCACCATTAACATTGGCATTTGAGGTCACCGAGCCATATCCTAGGTGATTGACGTTGGCGGAAGATTTGGCAGAACCGTGACCTGAGTTGGCAACGGTGTTCACGGAACCGTATCTATCATTGGCAATGGAATGCGCATATCCAGCACCGTTCACGTCAGCGGTTGACTGCACGGGTCCATAGGGTCCTTGCGAGCTAGCTGCAGAGTTAGCGGTACCGTAACCCTGAGAGTTGGCCACGGACTGCACGTAGCCTGCGTCCTGAACATTAGGGATCAATTGCACCACCCCATAACCCTGGTTAGGAGAATAAGAAGGCACTTGTCCCACAGTATTAGCAACCCTGTGTGGGAACCCATGGCCATCAGTACTGGCAACCGCGTTGGCGGAGTTAAGTCCATCGGTGGCACTAGATGTGGCGCTTCCAAGTCCATGTGCATTAGCAGAAGTAGTAATAGGGTTCTGCCCGTAGTTATTGACGGACGGAATGGAATGTCCCGCTCCGTTGGCGTTAGCGTTTGCAATGACCGATCCATGACCAATAGTTTGAGCTGATGACTGAGCAATTCCAGGTCCGGATTGACTTTGAGCATGTACATTTGCAACATTGGATGGTGTACCATAAAGGGTTCCGAATTGCCATTTCACTCCTTTTTTGCTTGTCGTTTTAGTAAAACCAGTTCCTTGCGCCTGTTGGACGTTAGCACTCGCTGACGACCCATGGCCCAGGGTGTTAGCTGATGTAACGACCGAGTTCCCTGAAGCTTGCTTTACAGAAGAGGAGGCTGAACCTTGAGCACCGTTCACTTGACTTTCCGCCGAGGTGGTGCCGAGACTGTTCTGTGTTTTCGATGTGGCTGAACTCAATCCGTTGCCTTGAGTTTGAGCGGATGTTACAGTCGATTCGTGACCGTTGTTCACGGTTGACATTGCAGAACCGAATCCGTGGCCGTTGACGTTAGTGTTAGATGTGACTCCATATGAACCGGTGCCTTGGCTTTGGGCAGAGGATTTCGCCGAACCAGAGCCATAGTTGGTAGCGGAGGATGTGGCGAACTCATTATTACCATGGACGACGGCAGATGACTGCGCCGTTGTTGGTATTACGTATCCCACACCTGGTGGTGCTTCAAAGTTTTGGTACGACACTACGGTAGCCGGCGGTGGAATGGGGAAATATTGTCCGTTATGCGCCGAAGCTACGGCGGCAGTGTTACCGGGAAATTCGTAAGCCTCCGCTTGGGTGATTGCGTTTCCTGGATATACTTCGGCGAACCCATGTCCCGGAGGGAACTGTATGTCAATGACATTTGGTAAATTTGCGGCATCGATAGGGTAATTGCGTCCTTCGCGGTAGATTACACCTGTAAAAAAATAATGATTTGAATTTATTAACTTAATGATGTAAAAATTACTTAATGATTACTTGATATTCAAGATCTTGTATTAAAATATTCTAGGAATGGAATTCCATCTTACCGTTTATTAGGACCGGGGTGGATTGGCAGAGAGCGAAGCACGTCAGTGTGACTATGAACTTGGCCGCCATGTTGGAGCTAATACACGACAGCCGAGGTCTGAATGAAGTGATACAGTGAGAGCATTTCTCTCAGCTTATATACTTAAATCGAGCGTCCACCACTACGGACGGAGGTTTGGCCTAAAAGTCATGAACTTCACCCAGAAAAGTCGCCGATCGCTCGTAAATATTAGTGATGGGTTACGGTAGTTTTACATCTGATTTGAGTGAATGCTCTCATATTTTTTTTTAGTGTCGATGTCGATATGAGATGTAAGTTTTGCGGCAAGTTTCGTGTGATGTGCGGCGAGTGCACTGACCCGCGAATACATCGCTATATCGAGCAAAAAATATCAAACAACGAAATGTTGTCGTTTATGTCCTTGCCTTGAGTTCTTCTAAGAAGGTATAAAGTAACTGCAACTCTGGCGTGTGAATTACGTATTTTGAATGTAACAGTTAAAAAAGATCTTACAGTTACATAACTGTTGAATGTGGTGGATAAGTTTTTCCCGATTCTTTTTTTTATTTTTAACCACAATCTTTCATTTGATTTTCGAATCGCATTAGGTTAAGGGTTCTAGTAAGAATCAGGTCTACGTACTCGTTTGAGCGTCGTATTCGAAAGATTTCTTTTAAATCCTGTTTGTTTAGTAAGTATCTGGATCCTGGTTTATAGCGATAGATAAAAATAAAATCATAATTTACGACCATCAAAATATAACGGTCAACTTTCAAAATCATTAAATGCATTTTCTATGTCGATCGACTTTTAGCTAATTAAAATTTGCCTGTCTGAATTAATTTCCATAACAGTAAAAACTAATGTCATCTTCCTTAGCAACAACTTTATCTCGTAAAATGTTTGTTGATGGCGGATACACTTCAAACTGCTTAAGGCAACAATATTCATAATTTTGTTTTACTCGATTCGGACTGATTGAATTAGGATGTTACTTTTTTTTTATATCACAAGGTGGCAAACGAGCGAGCGGCCACCTGAAATCCCTGCAATAGCGAAGTGACCGTTGCTCATAGACATTCGCAATTGCATATGTGTTGCCTACCTTTAATCGACGGAGGAGAGGATGCACAGAAAGAAAATATTTTCCCTTTCCATGCATCCTCTCATCCGGAAAGTCCACTTCCACTTGCCATCCTTTCCTTATAAGAAAAAGGTGGGAAGGGAAAGAGGACTAATTTTGGCCTCCGGGACGCACACTCATCAGACGAAACGCGGAATTGTTTCCACTTTCCGCCTGTCTTCTATGTGGTCGTGGTATTTCACCGGGCGAGCCGGACCGATTTGTGCGAAGATGTTAAAGCGGGCTCAACCACTGTTAAAAACTGTTACTTATATTATGTTGTGTTTAAAATTAATTTGTCTGTGATATTTAATAACTATAAACAGATTCGGTCAATTAGTCGAAAAATAACTAAGTTTTCTCTTTTCATTCTCAATTACTTTAACGAGGACCCTAGGTCTTCCTTAATGCTTGCAACCAATCGACAAATGGCCCAATTTCGTCATTCGCATCGCCTTGTTCGTCTCTTAATTTAGAATAGCATTACACTTCTCAAGTCAAAGATGCATTCCTTAAAGTATAATATGTTGTAGTCGAAAAAATTCGCGAGTGTTCTACTAGGTCGTGTACGTCATGATTAGAACACGCCGGATTTTGATCTGATAATATAAGATCAGGGTTGTCACAACGTCAGTTTTTCAGGTTTTTATTTCTGTCAGTAACTTTCCACAGCCAAAACAATGCAAAAATCATTGCATTAATTCTTCTCTCATTCTCACGATATGTGTAGTAATTTAATTATTTTTCAAATAAATTAAGCCTACTTCAGCCTGGTTAAAAACAAATTTAAAATGTAATTCCAAATCTTTTAACACCGAAAAGATCAAGAAATTTCTTAAATTTATTTAAAAAAAATATTTGACAGCCCTGGATAGTTTCTTTAAAATTATAGTTGTTGATTTATTATCTGTACCATTTAGCGTAGACCAACTTGATTTATGAGTACAGCATTAATTAATATTTTGATTTGATCTCACGAGCGCGAAAGTAGTGATAGTTTTATGTCATTTTTTGCGGTGAAATGGAGCCTTATTAATTTTATTTGGGGCAATAATATATTTCAAATACACTTCGACCGTTCTTTTAAAACGTGTTCTTTCTTCAAAATATACAATTGTTAAGTCTGTATACACATTATTAATTTAAATTACAGAATTATAAATTGTTTGCGAAGGACCAACTTGCAACAACTTTTTTAAAACTCAATTTAACTTTCTTAATATCAGATTGAGATAAACAGTTCAGATGTTAACAATGATAATATGAGGTGTTAACTTTTTATGTCGTCATTCGAGAGATTTTATCGTCCCTTTGTGTCATTTTAACGATAACTTAACTAAAAATACTTATACATATGCCGCAAACCTGTGTGCGCAAAGATGAAGATAGGATTCCAACTATCTATACCGTATTGAAAAAACAAATTAAATTATTTTTTCATTTTTGATATTTACTGTGAATCAATTTCAATAAAGTAAATGTATTTTGTAAAAATATGTGTAAGAAGGAATCTAAAAAGATTTGACAGCGGTGGGATTCGAACCCACGCCCTTTCGGACTGGTGCCTAAAACCAGCGCCTTAGACCACTCGGCCACGCTGCCTTATGATGCAATTGATGAAATAATTATATAAAACAGGTGTAAAAATTTAAAGTTAAAATCCCTTTACAGCGTTCGAATTATCTCATCAAAATTGCGCAAAACCACACAAGTGCGCAGAATTGATA